ATTTCCCTGGTGGCTAAGGATGTTTCTTAACTGTCTTTCAGCCATTTTGGATTCCTGTATGGAGATTTCTCTCTTCAGTTCTGTACTATGCTTTTTAACAGTGATATTTGGTGTTTTGTGACTAATTTCTTGAGTTCTTTGTATGTTTTTGATATCAGCCCTCTGTCAGATATGGGGTTGGTGAAGATCTGTTCCCAGTCTGTGGGCTGTTGTTTGGTCTTGTCAACTGTCAAGCCTTTACAGAAGCTTCCCAGTTTGAGAAGGTCCCGTTTATTAATTGTTGGTCTCAGTGTCTGTGCTAGTGTTGTTATGTTTAGGAAGCGGTCTCCTGTATCAATTTGTTCAAGGGTACCTCCCACTTTCTCTTCTAAGAGGTTCAATGTAGCTGGATTTATGTTGAGGTCTTTGATCCATTTGGACTTGAGTTTTGTGCATGGCAATAGACGTGGGTCTATCTGTAGTCTTCTACACACTATCATTCAGTTGTGCCAGCACCATTTGTTGAAGATGCTTTCCTCCTCCCATTGTATACTTTTAGCTGTTTTGGCAAAAATAAGTTGTTTGTAGGTGTGTGGGTTAATATCAGGATTTTTGATTTGATTCCATTGGTCTACCTGTCTATTTTTGTGCCAATACCAAGCTGTTTTCAGGACTATAGCTCTATAGTAGAGCTTGAAATAGAGAATGTTGATGGCTCCTGAAGTCCCTTTATTGTACATGGTTGTTTTGGCTATCCTGGCTCTTTTTGTTTTTCTGTATAAAGTTGAATATTATCCTTTCAAAGTCAGTGAAGAATTGTGCTGGGATTTTAATGGAAATTACATTGGATCTGTAGATTGCTTTTGGCAAGATTGCCATTTTTACCATGTTTATACTACCTATCCAAGAGCATGGCAGATCTTTCCAATTTCTGGTATCTTCTTTAATTTCTTTCTTTAAAGACACAAAGTTCTTTATTTGCCTTTCACTTATTTGGTAAGTGTTACGCCAAGAAACTTTATGTTGTTTGTGGCTATTATAAAGGGTGATATTTCTCTGATTTCTTTCTCAGCTCCATTGTCATCTGTATATAATAGGGCTATGGATTTTTTAAAATTTATCTTGTATCCTACTAGTTTGCTGAAGATGTTTATCAGCTGTAGGAGTTCCTTGTTAGAGTTTTTCAGGTCACTTATATAAACTAACATATCATCTGCAAATAGTGACACTTTGACTTCTTCCTTTCCAATGTTATTCCCTTCATCTCCTTTTGTTGTCTTATTGCTTTAGCTAGAACTTCTAATACAATATTGAAGAGATATAGAGATAGAGGGCAGCCTTGTCTTGTTCCTGATTTTAGAGAAATCACCTTAAGCTTCTTTCCATTCAGTTTGATGTTGGCTGTTGGTTTACTGTATATTGCTTTTATTATGTTTAGGTATGTTCCTGTTATCCCTGATTTCTCCAAGACCTTTATCATGAAAGGGTGTTGGATTTTGTCAAAGGCTTTTTCAGCATCTAGTGAGATGATCATATGGTTTTTCTCTTTCAGTTTGTTTATATGGTGGATCACATTGATACATTTTCATATGTTGAAGCATCCTTGCATCTCTGAGATGAAGCCTAGTTGGTCATGGTGCATGATTTCTCTGATGTGTTCTTGGATTCAATTTGCCAGTATTTCATTAAGTATTTTTGCATCGGTGTTCATGAGGGATATTGGTCTGTAGTTCTCTTTCTTGTTTGTGTCTTTGTGTGGCTTGGGTACCAAGGTAATTGTGGCCTTGTAAAAACAAAGTTTGGTAATGAACCTTCTGTTTCTATTGTATGGAACAATTTGAGGAGTATTGGTATTAGCTCTTGTTTTTCAATGTACAAGAAGCACACAGAGCACCAATTAGAATGAGCCAGAAAAGAAACTCTAAACTTCAGAAGAGCCTAGACAGATGCTATCCAGACTTTAAAAGACTGAAACTAATATACCCAGCAAAACTTACAATCAGAAAACAAGAAAAATAATCCATCATAAAAACAAAAGTAGACAGCATCAATCTTTATTTCCAACTCTCAAGAAGGCAATAGAAAGAAAATATAAATCTGATGAGGTTAACCATACCTAGGGGAAAATGGAAATAAATAACACCAGAGCAGCAATTCAAAAGTGCAAGAAATATCAACACCATAACAACGAAAAAGCAGATATCAATAAACATTGTTCATTGGAATTTTGTAACTTCAATTGCCTCCGTTCTTTGGCAGAGACTACCAGAATGGATTAGAAAACAAGATACATTTTTTTCTGCTGTTGGCATCTTCTAAACACTCCTTACCATCGTGGACAGATATCATTTCAGGGTAAAAGGATAGAAGAAATATTACAAGAAAATTAACCAATAAAATAATTAGAGCCTGTGTCAGTTGGAAAGAAAATGGTTCCCAAATGGAATGGCACTATTGGTAGGCATGGCTTTGTTGGAGTAGGTGTGGCCTTATTGGAGAAAGTGTGTCACTCCAGAGTTGACTTTGGGGTTTCATATATTCTCAAGACAGTACCCAGTGTCTCACACCACTTCCTGTTGCCTGTGAATCAAGATGTAAGGACACTTAAATCCTGCTTTAGCACAATAGCTGCTTGCATGCTGTCTTGTTTCCAAACATGACAATAATTGACTAAACTTACCTGTAAACGAGCCAATACAATTAAATGTTTTCCTTTATACAAGTTTCTATGACCATGGCATCTCTTCACAGTAATAGAATCCCTAACTAAGAGAGAACTTGATAGTAGGGATTGGGGTATTGCTGTGATATACATGACAATGCATTTCTTTGAAGAAATATGGACATTGGGTCTGTGGATTAGAAAAGTAGTTGAATGCTTTGAGTGCTGCTTAATGAACTATCCTAACAGAATCATGGAAGACAGTGATGCTCAGTGTGATTTGATAAACTGTGGGTGCTGTTCTCGAGGTTACAGAAGACAAAAATATATGGCCTAGAGATCATTCTAGTCATATTTTGGTAAAGAATGTGGCTGATTTTTTCCCTCATCTGAAGAGTTTGGCTAAGGCTAAAATGAAGAGTTAGGGATGAATTTGGATTGATCCCATGGGCAGAGGAAATCTCAAAATAGACTAGACTTAATATACTAGACTTAGTATAGACTTTAATTTGTTTATTAATGCTAATACTAGTGAAGATTTATAATAAAAATGAATAAGGAGACAGTCATATTAAGAACTTGGAAAAAAGGCAGTGGGGCTCCCTCAGAGCAAAATTTCACCCAGCTAAGTTTCAAACTAATGAAAGTAATCAAAGAAAGTCTCAGAGCATGTAACATGGTGCATGCCTTTAACCCTACCACATGGAAGACAGAGGCTGGTGAAACTGAGTTTGAGGCCAGCCTGGTCTACAGAGCAAGTCTAGAACAGCTAAGCTTAGGCAAAGAAGGTAAGGATTGAAATAGGATGTTAGTAAAGAAGTAATTGAACAAAAGGGCTATGTTCTAGTCTCAGTAGTTAGCAGAACACAGCAGCTTTGGCCACATGGTTCTGAAGGTAAGGACAGAAGAAGGGTGCTATGGAACTTGCCCCCATAGCAGAGACATGTCTCAAGTATATCACTGAATGGAGGCCTAGAGTGTCTTGCACATGAAGATGTGAAGGTGAAGACTGGATTGTCTTGAAGACCTCAAGATTTTGAAGAGATTTAATAAGAATAACATATATTGTTCTGAGGAAAAATTCATTGGGTATATATAAGGGTTCCAATAACCAAAATTTTGTAAGTTTATGCATAAGACACATCAATTTATTTACTTACTTACTTACTTACTTACTTACTTGTTTGCTTATTCATTTATTGAGAGTTAATTACTTGATTGCTCATCCCTTTCTTCTCTATAAAGCATCCAGTGTACCCCTCTATGCTCTTTTGAAAATTGATGGCCTCTTTCTTCATAAATTGTTGTTACCAGTGTAGCATATATACATATGCCATATTTGATTTGATTTCTACCATATGATAATTATCAGAAATATATAACAAAACCATGAAATTTTATCAAGAATATTCCTGATAAAAAGGTATTATAGGAAAGGTGAAGTAGTGTGGAGATGAAGTATTCTATTTAGTTGGGGTTTTTTTTTTTTTGTTTTGTTTTGTTTTGTTTAGACTTTATACTGGGTGAGGTGCTATAGCAGAGTGCACTAAATAATAGAACACAGTTTACTGTGTGGGAACTTTAATACTGTGCTTGGGTAAGGTGGGAAATGGTCCCCTATATCTGTCAGGGAACACACTCCTTTCTACATAATTTCTGCATAATTATTGCTACAAATAGAGTGAGCAAGCCTAGAGTGAGGATTAAAAGAAGGTCAGTGTGCTTGTGAAAGACAGGAGAAACTCACACCACTGCTTCACCCTCTCTTGAAAGCATTGTATGGAATATCACAAGTGTGTGCTTTGTGGAGTCAACTATGACTTTTTCTCATTTGTTCACACTTCCTCTATGTGTCTCTCCAAACAGCAATCCAAAACAAACCAGCTGGGTTAATGACCTACAACTCTGTCTCTGGATATTGTCCTCTCCAAAGTCACTGTGGACCATGATGAAATCATAGAGGTGGAAAAGAAGGAAAGACACAAACATGTTTTTCATCAGCATTGAGGATGCAGGTGCAGAGTCCCAGGACTGTGGGATCCCCAGAGCACATGTATGAGATGGAAATAGAAGCAAGAAAAGTCAACACATTCAGAGTCACTCAAGTTACACTTAGAGGAGAATCTCAGCACCATCTTACCCTCGCTTGTCTGGACTGTGCTTCTGTCTGTGCCCTTGATTTGCATGAGAACCATAGCCTATGTGCAGCCAGAAAGCCTGATGCAGGACCAAGAACCAGCTGTAGCTACTGTCTTCTCTGACCCTGTTGAGGTCTGAGCCTGTTCCATGATGTAAGCCAATAATCTCCTTGGCTCAGCCTAAGTGCTGGGCATTGTCTCTGTATTGCAAAGACCCTGCCATGTCCCTTCCTTTGCTTTGTCTCTTCTTAATCCAGCAATTATTGCTTACATTAGGGGAAATGACTCATCAGAGCTGTTCTGACTACTGGGAACCCAGCACCTATATGAAAGCTGACATAATCATAGGTGCATTTATCCCTATTTACATCACACTAGAAATATCAGAAGCAAACAAGATAACATTTGAGAAAAAACCGGATCCAGTAGAAATCCCTTTGTAAGTACTTATGTGACTGTGCTGACGGTGTTCTGGCTACATGACAGTGCAAGTTCATCTCTACACATGTAATTCATTTGAGATTAATGATCTGCATACACAGGATGTGAAAACCATTGCAAACTTTCTTCTTTTATTATGCGTCTACAGACCTTTGTTTTCCTCTTCTTCATTATTCCGGTTAGGTAGAGATCAAAGAGGGAAATCACCAACTTTCTGTCTATCCATGCTGTGATTCTATGGTCAGGCTTACATTTTTTTTTTTTTTCAGATTGACTCTAATCTGTCAAGGAGAAGTTCTTCCAGTTTCACATATCTTTGGGAATCTAAATGTCTAATGTCTTGTGTTTGAATGTCTGCGTCTTTCTAGAGAGTTGGGGAGTTTCTTCTGAATCTCCGAGTTTAGTACTTATCTTAGCATTTCCTATCCCACCTGATCTTGCATTGGCCTCTTTAAAGGATCTCAGAGTTTGGACAACTAGTCATGTTTACTACTTATTTTATTTTGCATTGATATTTTTGATGCAGTATTCATGCCTGATATTTTGTCTTTTGCTTAGTTGGTTCTTCTGGGCTCAAGTTCCACAGTGCTTTTATTGGAGGTTTTTGGTTTCCTTTTTTTTTTTTTTTTTTCATTTCAAACATTCTATCTCTTTTACTCTTCCCCATAATGTCAATTTTCCTGTAGGTTTTGTCTTTCTTGGCACTCAGTCCTTGATATATATTGCTGTTTTACTTGTCCCTCAGCCTTTGATCTTCTCCTGCACAGTGTTTAGTCTTGTCTCAATGTACAACTGAATTCATTTGCTTGTTTCTATCTTCTCTTAGGTCATTTATCTTTTTTACTTTTTGAACTACTCATATGACACTTGGGCTCTCTGAATATCTATGACTTCATTTGTTTGTTAGTTATGATATTGTGGAGGAATTATTTTGCATGGTTTTTCATAATTCCTGATTTATTTATTGTCACTATAACTGATACCTTTGTTCTTTTGAATATCAACTCAAGATAGGATGGTCCTCCACTTAGAAATACTTTTTGAAGGCTATATCAATGCACTTCTCTGTGATCAGGGAACAGATTTCCAGGCCTATATTCCTTCTAGTTGTGGTGTTATGGAATATGTGAAGAGAAAATCCCAAGATACCTGAAATTTGGCACTTAAACTACTCTTAGGAAAACTATCACAGGATGGAAAGACTGTAGTCGAGTAGCCTACTACAGCATTAGGTAGAAGGAGTACTAAGACCAGAAAATAAAATAGCTCATCCTCAGGGACAGTAGGCAGGAAAGCTTGAATTGTTAACTGACAGCAGCACATATTTGAAGTCTGTGTGATCTGTCACAGGTGGATCTAAGTTCCAAACCTCTGAATCTTTCATTTTTTAAGTTTATTTGTGGAGATAAAAGTTTTAGATATATAAGCTTGATGACTGTAATCTGCCATGAAATCTCATTGTAGAAAAAGCAAGTAACCAGAGTCTATAAATAGCTATAATAGACTCGTACCTTAGGGCCAAAGCAAAGGCTGGTGGACCCAAACAGAGATAGTAGCATGAACTTGGGGAAATGAATGTATCATGACCAAGCAAAGTAGGGCATTCAGACCAACAGTGTCCACAGTTTTGGCAGGGACTTGGTGGTGGGAAAAGCATATGCCAGTTATTAGTGCAGTAGTTAGCATCACCACAGTTGAAGTGAGATCCAGGTGGAGTCTGTTTCCCCATCGTATTTGTGGATACTTCAACTGCTGATTCCTGAACCTGGTATTTTTGTCTATCAGTGGAAGCCTTTTTATTAAGTACCTTCAGTTCCATATTCAGCAGATCTCTCTGAGTTGTTTGAAGGACATGGTATAATTTAATATTTGGAAAAAAACTTCGCTTATTTTTAGTTACTTGCATACTTGCTTCTGTATTGTCCTTGATAGCATACACAGAAGGCTAGAGTTTGTCCCTCTGTAAAGGTATTACATTAATATTCATCATGACCAAAAGCACAGCTCTGAGCACATTAAAAAACTTAAGCATTTATGAAGTGACTGATCATTAGCTTCCGTGTCTTAATTGTCTTTTACAGTTTACAACAAAGTTTAAGCTTTTATAAGATTAGAATTTTAATGCTTATCCCGTTTAAATTTGAGCCTTAAACTTTTGAATTGAAGGTTTAATTGTAGATCCTTTAGCAAGAAAATGAAAATTTAAACCACAAATACAGTCCACAATGAGACTGGGAACATTACTTCATGATCTTTCATAGTGTACTTTATAGGATAAGATTTTCTTATATGACTTAGTTTATGCAAATAGCTAAACAATAACAAAGTTAATAAAGACAAAGAGGATATAACTTCATCTTCAAGCCCTTTTCTGCTACCTTGATAGAATTTACAAAATTATAAACTTTATTTATCAAATATACCCTATTCATTAGATGATGCATGTTGCTCCTTATCTAGATTTTCTAGATGCCTAGTGTTGAATACAGTTAGAAATGACATAACTAGTCACACATACATTGCTAAATCAGTTTCTGTTATCTTGAACTCTTAGAACATTAGGAATCATACACCTTCATCAAACATTTGCTGCAGTGAGTTCTATTTGCCACAAACAGGAATTGAATCCAAGTCACATATACACTATAGTGTATAAGATTTATCTTCCTAAACAAGAGTTGAATCCCAGCTAAACAGAAGCATGTTGTAGATTTTTTTTAAACTATTAAGTCTTTTTGTTACAAATTTGAAGTAAATTTTGTTATCTGTTTTGCAGATTTTTAAACCACATCCAATGAATTTACAAATCCTAAGATACAGAAACTTTATAAAATTTTCTTAGAAATTTTAAGATAAATTTTAAACTTTAGCAAAATATCTAGGGATATAAGAAAGGGGAGTCAATTAGCAGCCATAACCCCTATTGGGAAAAGTTTGCTTTTGTATGTTTTAAATCACATAGAGGTTTTTTCCGGTGATATTCTGTTTTGCTCCTCTTCTCACTATCATATATTCAGGTGGCTAGCTTAACACAGGACAGATTCTAAAAATCTTTGAAACACCATGCTCATATCTGGAGGGAAAAGTATAAAATGCAACCCCAGAGTCACCTTATTTATAGGGTGCAACAGAATAACACAGTTTTTAATATTACCCATACCCCAAAACTATATCAATTGATCAGAAGAAGGGACCAGAGCAAGCAGAGGACAAAAGAGGAGAGGAGACAGGAGCATGGAGCAAAGAAAACAAAGACAATCGATTTTTGAGAGGGGGGGCAGAATGAGTTTAAAAATAAGGGACTTTGGGATCATATGCTTGTGGATTGGCAGAAATTGTTACAGTTTGTGGGCATTTGGAAATTCAGTGTGCATCTTTGGCTATTGAGCTGTCCTGAGGCCAAGCCAATTGCAATATGACAAGAAGAATTGATGGAATGAGTAAGTCTGAGAAGGAAAAGAGATTGGAGAAGGCACATGAGGAGTATGCAGAGCAAACTGCAGGGGTAATCAGAGAACACATTAGTAGGGACAGCAAGGAAGGGAGAGAGGAGGGTAAGTGTCCTGATGAAAAGAATTCCAACCCAGGGTGTCCCCTTGTGGACCAAGAGATTTGCTGGAGGGAAATGTCTCAATTGAAAAAGGAGCAGCATTCCTTTCCATATGAAGGGTACCTAGTAGAATGAAAGAAACAGCCTGGTGCACAGGCCACAAACACTTTAGGTAACCCATTCAGACATCATTACTGAATGGCTTCAAGATTGCATCTCAGAAGTTCTCACTTGATCCAAAACCAGAGAAGTGGGGCTAACAGGAAATAGAGGTCCCAGTGTCTTATCAACAAACATTGACTTAACTATTGATAAAACAAACAACCCAATTTAAAACACATGTAACTAAACTGAAAGTTCAGGAAAGATAAGATACAAGTGGCAGAGAAAGAGTATAAACATGTTCAATCACCTTAGTAATCAGTGAAATACAAATTAAAGCTTCATTGAGATTTTATCTTACCTAGGAACATAAATGACAATGAATGCTAACATTTATGTGGGCTAAAGGGACCACAAACTACTGTAGGCCCTATGGAAATTAGTTTAGAGGCATTCTACATTTGTGGAAAGGTATTTACACTATCCTCTATGTCTACCAATCCTGGGCATATACCTAAAAGACAGCATATCCTACTATAGGATTTCTTGGTCATTCATGTTCACATTGCTCTATTTAAAATGGCCATGAAATTGAAGCAGTCTCAATGTTCATCAACAGATGAATAGATATTTTATTCAACTGAAAAAATAGAATTATAAAATTCACATGTAGTGGCTACACCTGGAATTACCATTCTGAATGAAGTAACCCAGACACAATAAGACAAAGCCAAATGCTTTCTCTCATATGCAGATGCTAGTTTTTGAATCTGCAGTTATTTGCTTAACTGGAACATCCATATAAATCCAGAAGCTAGCAATGTGAAATGTAGAGGGTATTTCACTAGTGAAGGAATAGAACACAAGTTGTATAAAGAAAGGAATGGAAATCCTGAAGCAGACAGGGTTAAGTAGTAAGTGATGTTCAAGCAGAACACAGAGAGTGTGTAATGGAATAACTTACAGTAAGATTTGGTGGAAACCTAATAGAAATGTACTACTGTACACACACAAAGCATTTAAATAGGATAGGAATATTCTGTAACTGCTGGATAAGGACTTTCCAAAATATCATGTGCCATAAAAAACAAAGCCCGGTGCTAAGCTTGGGTAACTTGTTTTAAGCTGCTTGTAACTGCTGTCCACATACACTTAAACATTACAAGCTATTCTGTTTGCTCTTGGTTTAGCCTCCAGAATTTGATGGTAGGACATATTTGGTAAGGATATCATATAGTTGAGTCATAGGACAAGGAAAAATCAAGCTGGAGCTGACATAGAAACTGTATTCTTACCTCCTAGCATCCAAAGTGGATCGTGAGGGCATGGTGTAGATTTGATGGAAACAAATTCTATGCATATATATGCATGTAAGACATTAGCAATAATGAAAACATACATACTCTTCTACATGTAGTGGAGACATTTTGAATCCAGTTTAAAAATAAAGAAAAGAAGATGAGGTATAGCAGAAAGGACTCACCCTGTCCTCAGTAATTGCACACTTCCAGCTGTACATATGGAGGGAGGTCAGCTGACAGTGTGAACTCTTGTCCTTTCTTTGGATTATGTTGTTCCTGAGTCTTTATTGGATGAGTTTCTGAAGTCCAGTGGCCTGTGTTAGTAGGAGCCATTTTCCCACTTTGAATATCAGAATTCTGTAGCCACATTGAGCCATAAATTCTGGGAGCTGGCTAGATTCTCTCACTGTCTGGGACCACCCCAGAACATATTACTCTGGTTACTGTTTAGCTAGGGGATGTCTCCATGGAGACATGAGATTAGGAAAGCCATGTTAACATGGGAACAGTACATGAACTGACAGTTGAAAACCTGTTGGGTATTAATCACCAGGCAGGAGGGCTTTGGATCTCAGATTGACCACAGGAGCCTCAAAGCCTTGGGTTTCCTTGCAATGATCAACAGTTTAACAATTCTATATATTTACCAACCCAGTGGACTAAATCTCAGAGTTTTCATTCAAACTCCAGGATAACCCTCTGGGGGAGACGCTTGGTTTGTGGGTGTCCAGGGCCGGACTCTCTCTAATGCTCTCCCTAGACGAGTTACCTGCTCCTGATCCCTCTGGTGTATAATTGTCCTGTACTCCTGCTCTCTAAAACCCATGTTCTATTCTTTCTACCACTCAGAACTTATGGCAGAATAAGATACCAACACCCTGTGGAATTGCCTTGATATCAATGTGTTATATTCGTCAATCTTTAAAACTTTTTGTATATTGAAGTTTTAATTTATTATTTTTGTTTTTTACTTAAAAATGTGCAGACAATATATTTTGATCATTTCTCCTCCTCTATACCTCCACATTTAAAAGATAATTCTATAATTTCCTCCTTCTTTTCCTGCTTCCAACTCAATTCCATCTCCCCAACTCCATTCCCTCTCAAATTCATTGTTTTGTAATTATTGTTATAAAGGAAAATGCACACATATACAAACATAAAAGTGTACAACTATAACCAGCTGAATCAATTGTCTGGTTTGAATATTGCTTTTATATCATTGGAAAAGACTCAGCCCAGCTCAAATGGATAGAGAATTTATCCTAGGTCCAAATTTTCATGACCATGGCCAGTAAACACATAGTTAGGTGGCTACAGATTCCACATTCCAATGTGAAGGTAGTTTCATGAACTTTTCATAGGAAATTAAAAAAATGTAAACCAAATAAATTGGTGGAAACATGAATGATGATGTCATAGGCAAGATGGAAAAGGCCCTAGATGCTATCTGATGTCCCTCTTACCATTTAGGTTGTGGAATCCAGTGTTCTGCGAAGTTACTAGATTTAATTATAGGAGATTAGCTCACCTGAAGAGGTGTCCAAGAAATGGCTGTTCAGGGCACTATAGTCAGTCTAGAATAAGGTAATGAGTTTCTAGAACTGCAACATTCCAACTCTCCACACCACAAAACTTCTAATCAGCCATTCTGCAAACATGACTGCTTCCAGGAGTTCTTATGTATGCATTTATTCAGGTGTACATATTTATATATATATATGTATGCATGTATACACATGTATACTTTTATGCATGTATACATTTATGCACATATATGCCTTTATATACATACATACATATATTTATACACATGTATATCTTTATAAACAAGTATGTATTTATATACATGTATGCATTTTATACATATGCATTTATATACATTTATGCATTCATTCATACATATATACATTCATACTTTTATACATGTGTATGTATTTATACACATGGATGCATTTAAATGATTTACACACTTGTACACATGTATACAATTATAAACGTGTGCATTTATAAATATGTATATATTTATACACATGTATACATTTATATACATGTATGAATTTACATATATGTACATACTTATAAACTAATGCATTTATACACATGTGTGCATTTATACACGTGTATACAATTATCCACATGTATATATTTACTATGGAACACTTGGTATTGGATAATCCCTGGGGAAGATTAATTTCTCCCTCTCTCAGTGGCTGCTAATTGACAGTGGATCCTCTCAACATAGCATCTAACCATAGACACAGTGAAACCACAGGCATGTTTTAGTGTTGCACACAGATCTCTAGGTAGAATCTCTGCTTCAGTAGAACCCAGTGGACTTAAGGTTCTTGAGTTCTCTTACTGTCTCCAGTGGAGCCAGCCAGGCTCTCATCTACTCCAGGTTTTGAAAGTAGCTCCTGGGGACCCCTCCCCAACCACCAAATGCATTAGTGAGACAGTTCAGCCCATCTACCTGTTCCCAAAGTTTCCTTTCCTCTCATTTTGAGCACTCTTTTACTGCTTCATGGATTCAAGAGATTTTCCTTTTTGTGTTATGTTTTTACTTTGATTCTTTCACTGTCTTACACAGGAGACTCTACTCACTCCTTTATACTGCAGGCTTAGAAAAACACTTTATTTTCATTTACTAGTTTTTTAATTTTCTAAAAGACTGGGTTTTCTTCGGTCTCTGAGTTTGTGTGGGAACCACGTGTGTGCCTGGTGCCTGCAGAGGCCAGGAGAGAGCTTGTATTCCCCTAAAACTGTGTTGCACACTATTGTAACCCAAAGAGTAGCTGCTGTGACCTGAATTAAAATGCTGCCCAAGAGCAGCAAGTAGAAATGACCTCTCAGTCATTTCTCAAGTCCCAGAAACACTTTCCAAAAGGTCTGTTTATCTATCTCCTGGCTGGACCTACAGATTGTTCGGAGCCACCATACATAATTGCCTGGCCATCTATGTATCTTCCAAAGGAACACTTTCAGACTAGGCATGCATACAAACAAACGTATTACACTTTAAATATGAGTATGAAATGAAATTATTACAAAATAAAGAGATTAAAGCATAGTCACATTCCTAGAGAATGCATTAGTGACTCTTCCCTATCCCAGGGATTCCATGACTAGAAACACCATAAGCACCATGCAGCAACCATAGCACACAGACACACCTGACACTTCAATCCACACTATGAACTTAGAGAAACCAACTACTGAAATATAATGCAAATACTGACTTCAAGAGCCATTCCATGATGTTCCTGTGCTGTCAGGGACTCACTCACACCAGCTTTACATGTTTTGCTAAGGAGTTTCTGGCAATAAGGGCCTGACTCTGTTCATCATTCTGCCTCTACTATTTAGAGAGAGATGGAAAAACTATCAATATTTGCTGTCCTTATACTTTGCTTTTGAGGAGATCAATAAAGATATCCATCTGCTTCCCAATGTGACCTTGGGTTTCCACCTCTACAATGCCTTTAACTCTCACAGAGCCTTAGAGGGTCCTCTGATGTGGCTGTCTGGAAGGAATGAGTTTATTCCTAACTACAAATGCAAAACTCAACACAAAGCTCTTGCAATCATTACAGGAATCAGACCTGAATTTTCTGCTGCAGTTGGAACACTTTTGGAGGTCTACAAAGTTCCACAAGTAAGTTAGTAATGTTTTGTTGTCCACAGTCAGATATGTGCCCAAACAAAAATTGAGAAGTTATCTATGTTTACTGCTGGTGATTTAAAATAGAAGTGAATTAATTACCAAGAACCTGCCATGATCAACAGTAGAGTGCAGAAAAAAAAAAAAAACATGAGAAGTAAATGCTATAGTTTTCTAAAAAGATCACTCAGTAGTGTTCATTATATCTCAAATCATTGTCAAATTATTGAGTCATCACAAAGCTGAGTGCTGTTCATAATTCAAAACTACAACATAGATGACTGACTGCCCTAGTTAGTGTATAAACATCTCATAGGTGATCCAGTCATCAATGACTGACTGGTAGAGGATTAGGATGTCTAGGACATGTAAATAAATTTGGAACAATGCTTAAGACCATCATTAATGAAAATGTTCCAAGGAATTTATTTTCTTATTCAGAAAATTGGATCTCTGAATAGCACTTACAGAGAACATCCACTTAGATATATTTCCACAATTGCCTCTTCCCAGACACTATTGAAGCAAAGCAAACATCAGTGGGCACCAGTTTAAACTGAGAAAACTATAGGTGAGTCCCATTCTTGAGAATACTCAATATTTAAAAAACCACAGAGTGCAACACTGATTATTATCACTCAGTAAAACAATTCATAAATTATTGCACCCTAACGTTAGAAAAATAATATACATAATAATTTCCATACTTCCCAGGGTTTTGTGTTTTACATTAGTTTCTGGGTGATGGCTTTATCAAATCTATCACTAGAGAATAATGAGGCAACAATACTTGGAGATGTTTCCCCCTGCTCTTTTCTAACTTTAGGAATTAAATAAATAAAAAATGTTAGTTGCTTTCATAAAGCTACATGTTCTAGGGAAGGTGATCTCATGTTCTCAGAGTAAAGCCCTAGATAATTTTTCTGAAGACTTTCTCTACACCAAATATGCTATGGCATTGGTGCCTTTCAAACCTGTCATGAATATCATTTATTTCTTAGCTTCTTCAGAACTCTTAGTAACTTTGGGGCCCATAGTACTTGACAAAAGCCATATTCCATAACACATTTGATAGAGAAGCTAATCTGACAGAAGACATTCTCCTCACCAATAGACAGCTCCCTGATTGTCTTATGTGAATAATGAACTCACTTCCTCACTAAGATGGTGACTCAAAACACCTAGAAACTCAGAATCGCCTATATTTTGCTTTGCTTCTTCAGGTCACATGTGGAACTTTTGATTCTGTGCTAAGTAACAAAGATATATACCCATCCTTGTACCAGACATCTCCTAAAGACACAGCTCTGAGCCAAGGGGTGATCTCTTTATTAGAGCACTTTGACTGGAGGTGGGTGGGGCTCTTTGTGGCTGATGATCTGAAAGGGAAGGAGTTCCTCTCTGACATGAAAGCAGAGATTACATCAGAAGGTATCTGTGTGGCTTTTACAGAAAACCTCCAGACTAATTGGAAAATTCATCTAATGTCTGGAGTTGGATTGGTGAATTTGAAAAAACACACACAAGTAAATGTGTATGTATTCTATGGTGATATAGACGACTTGCTGTTTTACTTCCTAAACAATGAAATCATGTTAATCAGAAACAAGGTGTGGATAATGGCCAAGGCTAATTTAGTTTATTTAGAGTCTGTGTTATATGAGTCGAAAGATTTGATGAACTTTTTTGAAGGAAGCTTCTCATTTTCAAAGAATATAAATATCCCTGGCTTCAAGCACTTTCTTGAGGCACTTACACCCTCCCAGTATCCAGGAGATCTTTACTTCCATAAATTCTGGCTGGACAATTTTCACTGTTCTCCTCCTCCTTTGCTGTGTGGAAATAGTAAACCCTGCCCACTGAATACATCCCTGAAGACTAAGCAAGAAAAAGATTTAATGATCACTTCTGAGTCCAGTGTTTCCATATGGAATGCAGTGTATGCAATGGCCCATGCCCTCCATGAAATGCTTTTGAGAAAAACAGAAATAGCATCTCAGAAAGATGCAAACCAGGACAGGCTTCTACCTTGGCAGGTAAGTCTATCTCATAAGGAGAGCAGGCATTGGGAACTTGTATTATGAGTAGGTATTTCACTGAGTTAAAACACACAACATGTTTTCATATTATAATTAAAAGAATAAGGCAAAAATGGAAATAGGTTCTTTCAATGTGAGCGTGTATATGGATGTAATTATGGTACCTTATTTTGGGATTGGTAGCTTTGATTTTAAGATTTTGAATTAGGACATATCTCAACAAATGTTTTCCTAGAATGAGATGAAATTCTCTAAGTTATCAAAAAGCAATTGATGTCTAAACTACCAAGTTTAATAACTAACATCAGCTATTTCACATAAAATGGAATTTATATTTGATGACTCAAAACCATAAGGAGAAATTTTTGTGAAAAATAAAAATAGCCTGTCCTAGACTCAAAAGTAACCGAAAAAGTAGTTGTTTTTTGCAGGTTATTTGCTCTTAAATAAGGTAAAAAGAAGGGGAAACCTAAGAGAGTGCTTCCACTATTAAATGTTAGAATACAGTTGGTGCCCAAGATCCTAGGCCATATCTCCATCTATTAGTGATAAGTGGATATATTTGTGTTTAAACCACCCTGATATAAACTTAGGACTCACTTATATTTATGAGCATTGATGTTCACCTTCAAAAAGATTATTATCAGGAAGGTTGACAAACAAGTCAGGTGAAGTTTTCATTCAGTCAAAGATAGATAAATAAAAGATGAACTCTAAATTCAGTTTGCTATGTAGTTTTTAGTATGATGGATAGCAAGATATTTGACATAGATATTGACATAATTGGTGAAGATAGCTCCCAGAGATGTATATTAGATAAGTTAGCATGCCTCTTGTATAGACAACTGAATACTGAGACAATAGTTCTTAACAACATGAGTTGTTAATTAGTTAACACAATATTGCATCCCAAAAGTTGAAGAATTAACCCATTGTGTTAATTTAAATATATAATTAAATAATGGTGGATATTATGCCTCAGCAGATAGGAGCTGCTTTTGCAGAGACCTGGGTTTAGTTGTTAGCACCCATATGGGGGCTCACAACTGTCTGTAACTACAGTTCTTTGGATGTGACACACTCTTTTGCCATCTGCAGACATCAGGCATGCAGTTTGGGTACACACATACATGTAAGCAGCACACAGAAATAAAAATAACACAAACCTAGGGCCAGAGATAGCTCAGTAGTTAGATGTACTTACTGCACTTGAGAAGACCCAGAGCAGTTACATTGCTCTGTAACTCCAATTCCAGGGGATCCAGCAACCTCTTCTGGTCTTCATTGGCAGCCTGTACATGTGTAGTGCACAAACATACATGCAGGAAGGAAACTCATAAGCAAAACAAATAGAAATATAAAGAAATAATTTAAAATATCTAGCTAAGTCACAGACCATTTGGATTTTAATTTAGTCTCCAACATTGTTTATATAAAAGTTGAAATGCAAGTATTGTGACTGAAACCAAATCAGGAAGGAATGGAGGGAAGCAGTAGCTCTCTTTTCAGTTACCTTAAATATAAACCACAGGAAAAAATCTGCACATTTAATACACATTTTCATTAATTTGAGGCAGTGCATAAACTCCTGCTAATATCATGTCAAGAAACACTCTATGACTACATGTACACCTATCTACCTAAATAACCATACATACATGTGTTCACTTTATGACAAAAAGAAGGTAAATTTCTTAAAACATATAAACCCATAGATGATGTTGCTTCCATTTTTCCTCCAGTTTCTCTCAGAAAACATATATATATATATATATATATATATATATATATATATATATATAATTTTTTGCATTTTACATATCAATCCCAGTTCTCCCTCCCTTCCTCCCATGCCCCCCAACCCCTCTTCCTGTCCCATTCCCCACCCACTTCACTGGGAGGGTGATGCATTCCAGGAAGGATCAACAAATCTGTCAAGTCATTTGAAGTAGGGTCTAGGCCCTCCCTCCTGCCTCATGGCTAAGGGAGTATCCCTTCATGGGGAATGTGCTCCCAAAGTCCTTTCCTGCACCAGGGATATATCCTGGTTCCACTGTCAGAGGTCCCTTAGACTGCCCAGGCCTTCTAATTAAGACCCATGTTCAGGGAGTCTGAGTCAGTCCAATACTGGTTTCCCAGGTATCAGTCTGGGGGTCATGTTCAGGTCAGCCATCTCTGTGGGTTTCTGTAGCCTGGTCTTGACCCCTTTTCTCATCACTCCTCCCTCTCTACAACTGGATTCCAGGAGTTCTGCTCAGTATTTAGCTGTGGGTGTCTGCTTCTGTTTCCATCAGCTACTAGATGGCATATCAACTCTATGATGGCATATAAGTTAGTTATCAATCTCATTCTCAGGGAAGGGCATATAAGGTAGCCTTTCCACTTTTGCTCAAATTGTTAGTTGGGGCCATCCTTGTAGGTCTCTGAACATTTCTCTAGAGTCAGTTTTCTCTTCAAACCTATAATGGCTCCCTCTTTTATGGTATCTCTGAGAGAGGGCCCAGCATCCTACTCTCTCTGTCCTCCATGTTGATCTCCTCCCTTCTCCTTCCGGAATCCTCCTTGTCTCCTAGTCCCACTTATCTTGCTCTCCTATTGGCCAACAGTGCTTTATTCATTAACCAATACAAGAAACATATTTACAGAATGACATCTCCCATCATTCAGTTACAACTACATTAATTTAATGGGGAGAAAACTTTATCTCACTGGATCAATGGCAAGATAATTGCTGAAACTAAGCCTCCTTAAAAACAAAGCCAAAGTAAAGAGAAAGAGGATTGCTCCTAGGGACCATCAACGAGAAATTTGCATGCAACCCTCATATCCAAATGTTGTCTTTCTTCAGCTTCAACCATTTCTGAGGAAAATCCAATTTACAAACACTGCCGGAGACCAGATAAGCTTTGATAAGAATAAGAATCATATGGCAAAGTATGATATAACAAACATTATGGAGTACACTAGTCATTATTCATGTCTAGTTAAAGTAGGAGAGTTTGTCTCCAAGAGTCCACAAGATCACAACTTGTTCATCAATGAGGTTCTCATCAAATGGCCAAGCAACTTCAATCAGGTCTGGCTAAATATCAACATTTAATATGTCTGTAAATATCTGCAAACAGTTTTAATAATTGATTGTGTGATGTCTCTTTGAATTTTAAAGTAATTTATGGACTCTAAGTTCTTAGCTGTGCTGTGAACTTGAGTGTGAATGCTCATGAATATGAGTGCATGCTCCTATTGAGGCCATGGTCAGCACTGTTTACCTTCCTCAGTTTCCTCCATTTAATTATAAACATGATCTCTCTCTGAACTCCATGCATTCTGATTTAGCTGGATTCACTGAACAGTATGTCCCAGGCATTCTCCCTGTCTCCGTGAAAACCATATTAGGATTATAGGCATACAGTTCTGCACCTGAATTTTCTATACTTCCCTTCTGCATGATAAGTTCAGGATTTCATATTTATGAGGCAAGCTCTTTAAATACTGAATTGTATCTTTAGTTCTGTTTGATGTCTTTAATTAAGAAATTAATCTTTTGAATTTCAGTTTGATATATATATATACATATATATATATATATGTATACATATACACACAAGCACACACATATTGTTAGCAAATTCCCATAGATAGAATTATTTTTAATTGAATTTGAACTTTCATATATTCATTCATGCTTGCAGTGAATGAATAAATCAGTGTTCTTTGCTATAATAGCAATGTGTGCATGTGTGTTTCTGCATGTATTCACACACATGTGCACATAATCATATGTACATATATACATTTTATTATATATGCAAACTGATGCTCAATGCATCCTGCCATTTAAGACAACTAACCCTAAAACATGTGTATAGTTTTTATTTTAAAAAAGAAAGAAATTATGAATTTTATACAAATTTTCTTTATAACTGGTGTTTGTGAACTGTCTGATTTGTGTGCTGGGAGGTGAACTCAGGTTTCTCTGTGAAAGCATAATGCACTTCTAACTGCTGAACCAGATCTCCAGCCCCAAATACCAGTTAATATACAGACAGAAACTGAATCCAAATCATGGAAAGAATCATATCAAGGAAAATGATAGAAATATTTCCTTGCATACACAATTTCCAAAACTATAGACAAACTGAAGTTGTTTTAGAAGTGTAGTGGTTAATGTGATTAGCTAAGAGGACAAATGGTAAAATCCCAAATGATGAAGTCACTAAAGTTTGGAGGTAAAATAGGCCTCTATACTGAGCATGGGGAGTCAGGGTGAAAGTCATAGTAATGGACCCAAATTCAGTATCTATGTTAAATCAATATGTGATACAGTTAGGAGAACCTGTGACCATCCATCAGTGGCCAAACCCTCTTTCATGGGAAATGTGCATCAGAGTTAATGATTGTGACTACAGACTGGGGAAGGCAAAGGTAGAAACAGATAGGCAAGAGTGACTGGGTTTCTGTCTGACAATTCAACTGTTCCATAATTTATATAAGGAAGAAGTTCTGTCAAAAGCTAACAGAAATGTCACACAGTTTGGTCACCATAAAGAAACATTGCATATTTAACATCGGGAAGTGTGATAACTTCTATTCTACACTCCACACACACTCACAGATGGAAACGTCACATAAATACATACAACTTTCATAGTCTTTGTGCAGTTGAAATTGTTTACCTTAAAAATATTTTAAGCCTGTGGCTGATGTGCAAAATTATGACCAGTTTTTCGGTATTACCCTCAGACACCTCAATCTGTATGTACACAGAGCTGTGGTCCAGGTTTCTGGAAACTTGTAGAAGAAGGAAGACCTGCCTGCTGTTTTTCTTGTGTGTTTTGTCCAGAGAGGCACATTTCCAACCAGACAGGTAGAAAAATAATACCTTTCCCCAAACTACTTGTGAATGTAGAGGGAGAAAGCCAAGAAGTGGTCGTAGTGTTGTGATGCAGCACTGTTGTCCGTATGTATGTATGTATGTATGTATGTATGTATGTATGTATATTCTTATTTTACATATTGATCCCAGTTCCCTCTCCCTCCCATACCCCCCAATCCCCCCTCCCATCCCATCCCATCTCACACACACACACACACACACACACAGGGAGCATGATGCTCTCCAGGAGGGATCATCAAAGTCCATGTCTCTTTCACTCACATCCATATTCATTAATAATCATTGCTGGTACCACACAGTGTGTGGATATTGAGGGGAAGCCCTAATTTTATTCTGTCATCTTCATCCCTACTTCCAAAAACTGCCTTTCATTGCTAGGAAACTTCATCTCAACTCTTGCAATGATCTATATTACAGGCTGCCCAGGCTATGTGAGGTGTGCAAATGTCCAGGCTTCCTGTGTATCCCTTTAATAAATGAATCCAATTATTTATTCCTAAATATAAGCCCAGGACAAGTACATGTGGAGCAGTTTCCTAAAGGTACCACACACAGTATTAACTTTACACAACTTACAGTTGTCATTTGAATATTAAACATAGTATGGACAATGAATCTTTGTATAGGAAGGTACAAGTGCCTGTAGATCATTGTCTGTGCTGTGTACTGCCTTGAGATCATATATACAGCTAATATAAAAACTGAACACATGGTATTTAGGAATACACACACACACACAAAAACACATAGTCAACAATTAATGAAAAAGAGGCATAAATTTAATAGGAAACAAGACCAAAATAGGTGCAGGAGAGGGCTTAGAGAGAGAAATGAGAAGAGGGGAAATGTCATAATTATATTACAATTTAAAATTTTTAAATATTATAAATAAAAATTAGAAAAAGTAAAATAAAAATTCAAAAAAATGATGGCAACATAGTATCTAATTATTGTCTTCAATAAGACAAATACTTAAGTAACTACATAAAAATAGAGTTTGTTATTGCAACAACTGTAGGGGATATTAATGAACTATACTTTAATTTTCATAGAGTCAATGTTGCCATAGTTTAAATTCTTGTCTGAGTGTATTGATATAATTATCTTCAACTTAATGGCAGGATTATTGGAAACATATAATTCCTTAATAGACATTTCTGGTAAATGAAAGATTGTTTAAAATACCTGTTTTTCTTATTAATATGTATGTATTGATGTGCACATGTGTTTGTGTGTATGTGTGCATGTGCCTTAGCTCAAATATGGAGGTCAGAGGACATCATTATGGAGTTTAGACTTCTTCTTTGACTTTAGTGTGTGTTTAGAGATCATACCCAGGTTATCAAGATTGCATGGCAGCCCCTTTCTCCACTGAGTTATATATCATAGTAGCACATACTCTGATACTAAGAGCATTTACTACATCACACATTTGTTTTTTGTTTCCATTCCCTTTCATTTTGAAATTACAATGTAATTGTGTTATTTCTCTTTCCTTTTCCTCAGTGTGACACTTCCCATAATTCTGTCTTTCACATAAATGGCCTCTTTCTTCATTGATTTGTTAAATGCATATATGTATACATATAAAACTCCAAATATACCTGGATTGGTCTGTATGACATTATAACATGAAAAATAAAAGACCCAGAGACAGATATTCAGGTTCATGCTTCAAGCTGAAGATCAGAAAAGCAAAGTAGCTGGTCACTAGCTCTTACAATTACCTCACACTGAAAGGCAATCTTGGCTATACCAAAACTCAGACTGTAATCCCAGATGACACTCCCAGACTGCTATGTTCTCTTCAACTCGGCTGGAGATTGCTGAGACCTCCATAATGCTAGAATTAAAGGCATATGGCCCCAGGTGCTGGGATCAAAGGCATGAATTCTATTATCCTTCACTCTTCCGTAGGCCGTGATGATCTTGAACAGAGATCCCTCTACCTCTTAATCCTAAATCCTGGGATTAAGGGTATGTACCACCCCTGCCTGACCTCTATAGCTTGAAGATGATTTTGCTTTATGAATCCTCAGGCAAGCTTTAATAAATCACAAATATTATATCATCACATGATATACTTGTGTAAATGTTCTTAGGGTTGACTATTTGATAGTGAATGATCAGTTGATGTGCTTTTCCCTGGAGAGGACATTACTCCTGCCCTCTCTCAACATTTCTTAGTTATGTTCTATTCTGTTCTCTGTGTGGGATGAAGGCCTTGTGGTCATTCTGCCCTCTTTGGCAGATCTGTTGCTGTTGTCCCCATCCGGTTTCACATGTTTAGGGAGTCATGTTGGTAGGGATGGGTTTACTTACTGTCTGATATTACTAAGAGACACAAACTCACATAAAATTCCATGAGCCTCTGATTCTTACAATATTTCCCCAATCTGAAATATTCTCTGGGCCTTAGGTTTGGGAATGATTTTACAGACTTACCCACTGGAGCTGCCCTCGACAACTCTGTAATGCTCTCATCTGTTGTAAAGTTTCTTTGCTTGGGGGTGAAGACTAAAATTACCTGTGGGTATCAGGACAAATGTTTACAGGTTGTTGTGGTAATATACTATTTATGATCTAATTAATCTTACCTGGAGATCAGAATGCAAAGCTAGCCACAGCCATAAAAGCCAAGGCAGTGATGGTACACATCTTTAATTCCAGGACTCAGGAGATAGAGAAAGATGAATCTCAGTGAGTTCAAGCCACACATATCTTGAGAAACAGAGCTCAAACCTCTAATCCTAGAACTAGAGAGGTATATAAGACAGGAATGGGGTCTTAGAGCATTCAATCTTGGGCAATTAGTCTATAGCCACTTTGAGGACAAGATCTCCCCAGCCTTGGTAGAGATAAGAGCTCTCTGGTGGCTTGGCTGCTTTGATTTTCTGATCTTCAGCTTGAACTCCAATAGCTGAGTCGGGTTTTTATTATGAGTGTTAGGGATTATGCTGGTTTAGTAAATTGGTGTTTGTAGATTCTCCTCCAATAACCATGACTTCACTAGCACTGAGTACTCAGGTTTCAGGCAAAGGCATGATTTCCTTATTGTCTTGACTCTAATACAGAGAGCTCTTGATCACCATCAAGGAATGCATGGCACTATTGCACCCTTAGGGTTGTGTGCTATGATGGTCATTGGTGTGGTTCATAATTGTCACAGAAAGGTAAGAATGTTGGTTGTCTCCATCATTTGGAAGCCTGCATAATATCTTCTGGTATTATAAAAGCTAGTTCACAGGGGAAGGGCGTTTGTATCAGTTCCAGCTCAAGGGTCTCCAGGCTGTTTCTGAAATTCATGGTGTCTTCAGCAATACAGACTCACTTTCCAACTAACAGGATAAACATACACAACAACAATAGGTAGTATGTTTTTGGAGTCTCTTCAACAACTCTAGTGAAAAACACAAAAGAAAGATTCTCATGTCTGGTACTGGGTTTATTTATGTAGACTTAGTCTTGGAGGGAAGAGCATCAGCCCAGATTAGAAAGGTTTACTGAAACTCTGTGTATGAGTATAAGAGAGTTAACTACATTGTAGGGTTATTTTTAGGTAAATAGTAATATTATGATTATTTGACACCTTTTCAGACATTCTTATTGATATTTTACACACTTCCCTCCTTCGTCTGTATTTACTTCTCTTCAACTTTCTAAACACCCCCCTTTCCAACTTTCCCCTTCACATCACATGTATTTTGTCCAGACATTAATCTGTACTGTTATTTTACTCTTTGTACTCCTTCAACTGTATTTATCTCCATCTTACCTAGTTAATGGGAGTGTCCCTCTTTTGCATCTCCCTTTAGCTCATTTCTTCCCGGCTATTCAACTGTTTCCCTCAAGCTCCTGCAGTGATCCTACTCATTTTTCTATCTTCTACTGTTTTCCACATGTACTCATATCTGAAGTTTGGAGGTAGAATCCTCTATGAGAAAGAACATATGGCATTTGTCTTTCTGTATCTAGGTTTCATGACTCAATTTGGTCCTTTCTAGTTCCATCCATAAAGTTTATGATTTCACTTTCCTTTATACCTAAATATATTCACTGGTGTATCTGTATCATGGTTTCATTGTCCACTTGTCAGTTCTAGGTCACTTAGATTTGTTTGTTTGTTTCCTAAGTGCTATAAACAAAGCAGCATTGCACATGAAAAGCAAATACCTGTGGAGTCCGATGGACATATGCCAGCTATTGGTATTGCTGGGTCATATGGCAGAATTACTATTAGCTTCTTGAGAATTCCCCATTCTGATTTCTAAAGTGGCTGCACCAGTTACAGTCCTGCTGTAAGTGAATGGCAGTTTCCTGTTCCTTTCTGTCAACTCAAGCACTTGTTGTTGGCTGTTCTGTGGATCATTGCTATTCTGACTGGGGAAGGATGAAATCAAAAATTGTTCTATGTTTCTGTAATTGCTAAACTTGACAAATTCTTTTGAAATATTTCTTAGCCATTTCTTTTCCAATTGAAATGCTCTTTTCGGGTTCTAGGGTCATTTCTTATACAGTAAGTCACTTTTTAACTATTTGATTTTGTCAGTTCTTTGTATATTCTGGTTATTAATCTGCTGTTAGATATATACTGGCAAAGATTCTCTCCCATTCTGAGGGCTTCCTCTGTACTCAGTTGATTAGCTCTTTGTCTGTACAGAGCCTTTTAGTTTTATGAACTCCTTGTCAATTGTTAGCTTTAATTCTTTTCTTAATTCATTTTATTTAAATTAAAACAATCTTATTCTATGTATAAATCCCAGTTGCCTCTCTCTCCCATCCTCCCATGCCCCCCCCACATACTCCCTCATCTCACCACCACCCCCATCCACTCCCCAGGGAGGGTGAGGCTTTGCATGAGGGATCATCAAAATCTGTCAAGTCATTTGGGGACATTCCCGTGTCTCTAGGCTAGGGGAGTATCCCTCCACAGGGAATGGACACCCAAAGTCAGTTCCTGCAGTAGGGAT